CAAGTAGATTGTGCGTAAATACAACTTATTAAAGCTCCATATCTGAATTCGTGTAACTAACTGTAGATAAACATAATCAAATACAGGATAAACATCTCATTTTGAATATAAATAATCTAAAATATAATTAGGATAATCATTATGTTCTAACAGAATACTTAATTATTATCTTTATAAAATGTTATATTATTAAACCAAAAATAAATTATTTCATTATTAAACTTAAATTAAATTATAATAAATAAAAATTAAAGAAATTACGTAAAAAAAATGAGAACTTTTAAATAGTTGATTTGATATTAACATTGATATATATATTTTTTTCAAAATTTTATGAATTATATTTTATTCAAAAATAAAATCATTATTGCTTTCTTAAAAACACATAAAATCGTATTATAACATCGACAAAGACAAAGAATAAAATAGAACATTAAAATTGAGATGTCTCGTTGCATTGCACGAGTACTCTTCTAATATATATATATATATATATATGTGTGTGTGTGTGTGTGTGAATGAGAGAGAGAAGGTGCCAGGGGGTTTCATATGACAACTATAAGTATTTTGATTTAGATGCCAATACAGTCATTGATACATATAGACTATCAAAACCTTTATTGTCAATAAGTATATTTCATCAATGCATATATACTATGTATGCATATTCATTGAAATTCATAATTGGATGCATATATGTATGTATGTATATAAATTATATATATTATATTAGTTCTCAAAAATTTTAAAATTTTTAAAAATTTCAAGTTAATGAACCAAAGTCTTTCTCTATGACTCCTTATGTGTGTGTGTGAGTGTTCGAAAAGTGAGAGACTGTTATTATTTGGACGCATAAAACAGAATTTCAAACAACAGTTTTCTTTAACATCCAACTAAAATCATGTGCATATATTAACATTGAATCGCAGGTAATAAGCATCGGACCATAGATGCTTGATTACCAACGGTTTCGGAGAAAAAACCTCAAATGTGATTCATCTACTTAGTCCACACTCATATTTCTGTACTTTCTCATCATATTTTTTACATGAAATTAATTGTTGTGTATTGCTTATTGTTCACAAACCACATATGTTTTTAGAGTGTGTCATTGTTACAATGTTGTAATTATTTACACAATTATATGATCATTTATATTAAAAAAAAAACATCTATTAGGGACTGTTTGACGGTTGCTGAATGGTTTGATGCAGAATAATTAGGTGGTCGGGATGATTAAAAGGCTCTCATGATATAGTACAAATTGAAAAATAATTGTTCGGTAATTGATTACAATGGAATCAGGGCGCTGAATGGTTAAGGGAAGCCCATGATACAAAATTATTCAGAGAGTTTTAGAACTATTAAGAGACAGACTTTTTGTTTGCTAAACAAGATTTACCTTTTAACGATTCAAATGTGCCTTTTAATGGAACTATTAAGAGGTAAACAAACAACTCCTTAGTCTGTGGATGCAAAATATTTGAAGCAAAAGATCATATACACAACCAAATATTACTACAACTAATGTAAATTTTCCCATAATTCTAGCAGTTGAAGTAATTTTTTGACTTTAAATATTCGATTTTTGTTAACTGAAATGTGTTCTATTAGTTTCATACAGTTATAATATTAAGTGTATATATAGATACAAGTTGTAACAACTCGTTCCATATGGATACAAGGTAAAAAATTATTAGTTCCTTATAAGTCTCAAGTAGTGTGCTACTAATAACTTCTACCATGGTTTTAAGTTGGATTTAAAGTTATTGGCTAATTCGTTACTTTAGGAAATGTTATACAATATTTCTACATGTTTTGGATACTTTGATGTGTGATATTTTATAAACACAATATTTTCTTTAAATTCAAGAATTGATATGACAATGTTGATTGTGACGATGCTGATGACATAAAATAAAATATTATTATAATATGTACAAGGCATACAAATATAATGCAATTTTAAATAATTTATTATTGCATTTTCTATTAAAGAGTTTTATTTGGTTAATTCCCGTGGTAAATCTTTTGCATCAAACTTTTAATTTGGACAGTTTTTACCACAGTAATTAGTTCATAATAGTATGTTTTCGTTATATAAGATTAGAGAAATGTGATACTATGGTTTATAGTTAAAATATGTTATCCATAATACATATTTTCATATGAAGTATAAATGAATTACAAGTGAGTGTAGTTGTTTAATAAAATTGTTTGTTAAATAAAGAAGGTGGTAAGACCGTTGCGCCGAGTGCGTGATCATGACAAGACTCGAGGAAGAGCTGTTGCCTACCTTGGAAGGTCAGCGGAAAGAGTTGACGGCAGAGAAAAACTGGGTATTCTGTAATGTGGATTTGGGTTGGATTACTTAGTATTATTCAAGGCTAATCGTGAAGTGTATAGAAATGGAGAACATGTACAATTGAATAGTCCATAATACATAGAACTTATATGGAGTTGGGAGAGGAGTGCAAACACTCAGATTGATCGTTTTTACAAGAAATAGTATGTGTTTTCTTCTCTAATTTTTCTTCACATCATAAAATAAAACTCCGACCGAATATTGTGTAAACCATGACATGTTGCGCTCGAGAGCGAGTTGGAGCCCGAGCTCCAGATCTTGCTGGTGAGGTCGCCTACGAGGGAAGGTTCTGAGAAGCCAACGTGCTCTCACGTGAGCTAGCTATTGTCAGGCGAGTTTGATTGCGAGCTCCAGTCTCGCGGTAGTCAAGTCATGTTCAACAACAACAATCAGGAGCTGGGTAAATTTGTAATAAGGGTGACATATTAGGAAGCTAGGTAAATTTGTAATAAGGGTGGCATAATCAGGAGTAGTGTATATTTGGATAAGAGTGGCACAATCAATTGTTCTATGAATGGTGATTTTTGATCATGGGTTCTTGCGTCTTTAGGACAACAGGACTTGGGGTTCTCACATCTATGGGACGAGAGAAC